TTAACCTGTTGGATGTTGAATATTTTATCCGTCACGTGTCGCTCCACGTCGAATATTTTTCGATGTTAAGCCTAACGCGATCACACGTTTTAGAAAAATAATAATTGTGGCTATAGTATTATTCTGAATTACTTAATATTTTTTACACACAAAATAGACATATTAGGGAATGTAAAAAACAAAAAATTTTATTTTAAAAGTTAAGTTTTGTGTGATATATCTCAAAACAAGGTACAACACACAGTGGAGCATTACATTTTACACATTGATAACGTGATTCTGCACGTTTTTTGATAGCCGAACATACTTTACATACTCTGGATGGATGCTTTTTTTTCTCTGTAGGTGGTATGAGACTAGGAAAATGCCGTTCTGATAAACGTAATGGATTTTCATGTGATGGTCGACCGCGGCGAACTAGATGTCTGCTTGTGTGATACTTTTCTATCACTTCTCTGATTACAGACATACGAAAATCTAAAAATGATATTTGTATTTTCGTATGTTTTCGATATAAAATACAGGCCTTATATAATGTAATATCCATCATATGAAAAAACACTTTTTTGTACCATTTCACCGTTTTTCTCATGCACGGATAATTGTGTTTTACTCCGTCACAGAGATCGATTCCACCCATATTGCGATTATAATCTAGTATACAATTTGGTTTTATAATTACTTTATCTAAATTAACCTAAATTAAATAAATATTCAATAACTTCTAACTTGTTTAGAGAGCTGTGTCTACTACTTCCTGCCATGTCGAAAAACAGAAACGAAATGGTCTAATTTTCTTTGTGATTTCAAACAAAGAACTATTCCTAGAATTTCGACAACCTGCTGAGAAAAACTAGTTAAAATAACGGTTCTTCTGATATACGTCACTTACTTGTAAACAACATACAAGTAGCGACATCTTATGTTAAAAAACGTTCCGATGTAAACACGTAAATTTTCGGGATCGCCCACACAGGTAAATGAGGTCAACCCGAAAATTTTCGGGATCAACGTTCAACAGGTTAAAGACAAAATACATTTCAAAAATTGAAAAAAATTTTTTTTCAAAAATAGACTTAAGGACCGAGTTTTTTGTAAGGCTATGTAAACGTAACAAGTTAACTTGTCAATGGGAATTAAGGGGAAAGAATATAATAAGTGTTCTTGTGTTTTTATAATAGATATAGTTTGTTTATGAAAAAATTTTAGTTTTTCGACTTGTGAAAATATTTACGATGAACATCTACATTTTGACTCTTGCTATGTTATGAACCACATTTTTGCACTTAAGACCCTTGTAAAAAGAAATAAGGAAATATTACTTGTGGGAAATGGATATCACTAGTCTCACTATTGGAAGAAAAAACCTTTATTTCTAATTATTTATATAATTAATTATTATCGAATAGAAAAAGCTTAATATATCTTGCGATATGACACAAGTAGTGGTAGTTTGGGCTGTACTAATCACAAATCCTAATTAAATTAATTTTATTTTAACAATAAGGCAAGGGTTAATATATTTTATTTAATTATTAAATATTGTTGAATTAATTGTTTTTTTTCTAAGCGAGTAAGTATTCGAACTGAATATCGGTTGATATTTTTATTATAAAATTAATTTGTGGAAATTTATGTATATTTGCAATAATAAGCCTAATTTTTAAAATAAAAATTTGTTCTAATATCAGAGTGAATTAAAACACGACAATTTGGTACAAAATTTAGGAAACATTTGTTTATTTATTTAAACATTGATTGTCTGATCATTTTATATGCTCAACATGGCTAGAAAAATAATCATCTTGAAACAAATGATTAATATCAGTTTTTTTATATTTAAAAAGTTTAAATTTTAAATTTAGGCCTATTAAAAACTTTTTCTACAAACAAAAAATTATTATTATTTAAAATATTATAAATGCTAAATATTTGTTTTTTTTTAAGACAGATGGATCAATATTTTCTAAAATAAGAGCCCGATAAGTTTTAGCATAACCTCTAAAAGTTTTTTCCATAATATAAAAGACATGTTTATGGTATTTGCCATCACTCTGTAACATGTTTCCCAAGTATACAAAGTTGTCGACTTGTTTGACATTCACACCATCCAGCGTCAACTAGCAATATGTTGTCAACTTTAGTACGTTCAAACACTATGCATTTAGTCTTATTAGTGTTCATAGTCCTTATTCGTAGCCCTTTCTCTTGCAACACCTTGTTAAAGCGGCTAAGCATCCTTCGCATTTTCACTTCATTTTCGCTTAACAACACTGCATCATCTGCATACAACAACACACGCACATTCTCATTCCCAACTTTCATCCCTTGGCCATCAGCGAAAGCTTCACACACACCTGCATCCAAAAAGATATTAAACAGCCACGGAATAATTACGCACCCTTGTCGCATCCCCTTCTGATTGCAAAGAATTCAGAAAAGGAGACAGCGCTCAGATTCACACATGCGTGACAGCAATCGCAGAGCAAACACTTGATTCGCACATCCTCTACCACTCCTGAAACCACGAGCACATCCCATACTTTATCATCAGTTTATCGCTGTAGGCGCCGTATCAACAGTTTCCCATACATCTTACCTGGGACGGTGAGCAGGCTTGTAACTTAATAGTTGGCACGCTCAGCCTGGTCACCCTTTCCATTATAGAACGACAAAATTACACCCTTCAGTCATTTCTCTGTCACACTTTCATTACGCCACCAAGTGTTAAACAAGTCACTCAAACAATGTACAACCTTTCTCTCACCGTACTTAATCATTTTAGCAATTACTTCCTCCATTCCTTCTGCCTTACCACCTTTATACGTATAGCGCTACGTGCTACTCAAAAAATCGACTGTAAATAAAAATTAATTGATTTATAGAAATGCAATAGATATTTTAAAGTGAGACGTAAGATACAGTAGAGCCTCGAAAACTCGGCCTAATGTGGACCGAAGGGTGGCCGAGTTTGTGAAAATGTCAGTTTATCGGGAATGGGGTTAAAAAAGAATAAGTATGCGTGTTTCCTCATAAAATATTGTACTGTACTTGTATGTATTGTTTGCTTGAGAATACAACAGAGAATAAACTGCCCAAATACCCTTAAACAAAGGAAAAGTACGTCCTTTATAAAGGCATAGAGCCTTTACTACATGAAAATAAAAATTAATGAATACATAGCGTACAGTAATTTACCTGATAATACAGACATGAGAAAAATACTTTATGAGGCATAAAGCTGTCTATGATGAAAATTAATTATATAAGGTTATTTTTGCCCTGCCAGGGTGTGGCCGAGTTATCCTCCGGAGTGCCGGGATATCGAGTACCGAGTTTTCGAGGCTCTACTGTATTACCTAAATTAAACTTATGTAAACGTAACTGCCGAATTTCGTAGCAATTAGAGTGTATAGCGAATAAAACTTCGAGATAACTTTTGATGACTACTTCTAGAGTGTATGCTCTATATCTTATCGTTGTTACAATTTCTTTAATTCTATTGATTTCTTTTAAGCGGTTCTGTATATTGGAACAATACGAAACGGTTTTTCTATTAATCACTCTAAATGCTGAAAGGCAAAGGTAAGAATCATTACAAAAGTTATGCTTCTTTATACATGTATAAAGGAGCGTAACTTAGTTTGATATATACGCCAGTATTAATATCTTCATGATTAAACAAGAGGTTTGCACTTTCTAAACGTTGACATCGAATTTAAGCTTATTTTATGTCTGTTACTCGCGATCGTTCAAATTCATAAAGATAGAAACAAACCTGTTTAAAAAAAAACTTTCATATTAAAGAATTGATGTACATTGTATATTTTTTGGCTTTTCCCAAGGCAAAGTTGTGAGCTTCTTTTTTTTATGATCAATATTTTGAATGTAATCTAATCGGTATTTTAGTCATGATTCTTCGAATTACTTGTTACCATCTAGCCGAGTCAATCGATCAAAAATCATAATAACGTATTACAGGTTAATAACAGCTAATTATTTATTGTAGATTATATAATTGAACCAATAAGTCAAACAATAAAAATAAAAATTATTTGAATCATTCTTTACCAATTACATTTTATCGAACAGTAATAATGAACTTTAAAAAATGTAATGTGTCACTCAGATAATTACTGAATAATAGATACTTTTCTATTAATATATTATGGAATTAAAACCTATTCTGTAATTAAAAACATTGCATATTGATAAGGAAATTCATTAAATTAAAACAAATAATACATTGTATTGTTTTTTTTACATTCGCCACAGGAGAACAAGGGATAAAATGTCGAATGGATGACATTTTTCTTCTTGGAATTCTTCGTGCTAGAAAATATGATATGCAAAGATCGTTGAAAATGCTAAAGAATTATTATGAAGTGAGAATACAGTATCCTCAGTACTTTAAAGATCTACTTCCTTCTAAATTGGAACATGTTTTATCACTGAATGGTATTCAAATCCTACCAAAACCAGATAGTAAAGGAAGATTTATTTATTTTTGTCAAGTCAGTAAGTAGACCTGTTCTTTTTTAATTCTTACTAAGCATATATAGAAAATTAAAATATATCAGATAAATATAAAAAAAATAAATATATAGAAAAGATAAAGAATCGAATCTAGTGTTTTAATTTATTCACAAAAATTGTGTCCCATACTTATAAAACCTTTGTAGTTATGTTGACATTTCTAAATTTTCTACAGGTAAAGTAAGGAAAAACGAATTGAAGTTATTTTGCTGACTATTTATCTGGTAGACAAAATAGACAGCGAAATTTTGCGTAAATCCAAAACATGACCTCTTGCATAAAATGCATGTAATTCTCACGAACTGTACTAATTAGAATTTATAAGCAAATTGTGTTGAATGACTACCTTTGTATCAAATTACAAGCCACATGTCGTACGCAAATTTGACTACTGTCCTTAACAATCAGTAAGAAACTGCATATATTTCCTACGAGCTATAAGTTAAATGTAACCAGGTGCATGAACCAGGTGTATGAAAATTACAACTCACGATAATGTGTGAGTTGTAATTTTCATACACCTGGTACTAACATTATGTTTGATAAATGTAATGTTTGAATATAACGTCTGCAGGTTACAAGTCACTATCATCAAAATAACTCCAAATTTTTCTTATTTACATAGCGCCATTTTTTTTTTGTGAGAGAGTAAACAAACATCGTAATAACACCTACAATTGAAGACTTCTGGCTCACTCTGTAGTTATTGACGTTCAAGAAATTTATAATTATATTACAAGGAACATTATTGTACAGTTGTTTAATTATTTTTTAAAATTATTTCTTATTTTTTATTACAAAAATAATACTTTAAAAGTAATGTAAAAATGCAATCGTTATAAGTTTATTATTGATATAACTTTTTAAAACGAAAGATTATGAAGAATTTACGCGTAACAGTTGAATTCCTTAGTGAGAACAATAGTTTCTTTATCTATCTGATCGGCAGTATTGTATTCTAGAAAGTGAAGAGTATAGAAATCTTTATAGTAAAGGTAAAGGAAATAGAGGGTAGTTTGTATATAGAATATTAAAAAAAATTGTATAAGTTTTAATATCTGTAAATTGAAATAATTTATCATAAAAATTTTATAAAAGTTAGATCAATATTTCAACAGTTTTAGTTAATATTCGGATTTTATGTTCAATTACAGTAATTCCTTTTTAGTTAGTTGATTCAATAAATTAATGTAGTTGAGATGACAGATAATGATCTCTATCTCTATTTGTCACTGATTCTCGAGACCCAAATAAACGAGGATTTCTACATTCGAACATGTATTTTATTTCCCATTTATTTCGACCAAATGAGTATATAAACAGAAAATTGAAATTCTAAAACATATTTTACATGATGTTTTTTAGAAAATTAAATATATTTACAATTTAAATTATTTCTTTTTTTAATATTGTGCAATACGAATTGATTGAAGAAAGAAGATTAATAAAAAAATATTTTTAAATATAATTATGCTTCTAACTATGCTTGTAAACTATATTCTCATATTGAAATATTGATTTTTTTAGGTAAATGGAATACTTCTGTTGCAAATGGAACAGATGTAAATCGTCATTCTTTACTTACCTTCGATATCATGTTAAATTTTCATCGAACTCAAGAGAATTGTGTCGTTATAATTGTGGATGCTGGTGGAATGACACTATCACATTTTCTGCAATTTACACCAAGTTTTATCAATTCAACGGTGAACATTTTATTGGTAAGAAATTGTTCATTGATATTAAATTTTGTATTCTGTAATATAGTAAAATAAGTTATAATGGAAACAGCACAATTTATTATGCACTTTAGAAACATATGTGACCGTTGGGTCGGCACCTCTTTGGCGTCCTGTCAGGAGGGCTGAATCTGACACCACCGAGTCTCTGGGGGACTCGGAAATCGTGACGCTACGTCTAAAGATTCGCGAGCGGTAGCGTGTGAGCGCTTGGATTCGGAGTAGAGGTGAGGAGAGAGACGCGGAAGTAACTTACTCGGACTCCATAGTAACAAGTAAATAACGATTTTAATTAAGTCGAACTAAATACTATACAGAGATACTAAATACTATCGGCATATTATTGTCCTTAACTATACTAGGCCGCGGAGAGAGAAAGTTTACAACCGAATCGCGGGTTGATAAATACCTTGTCGATGGACAGTTCTTTGAATCTTGAATGGACAGTTCTTGGATGGACAGTTCTTTGAATCTTGTCGTTGAATCTTGAATCAGAATCTTGTCCGTTCACTGGGGTGGAGGCACGGAGGAGTGTAGAGGCTTAATCCAGCACGAATGTTTTCTCGGGTTTAATCCTGGTCGCGGTTTTAATTCGGTGTTACGATTTTAATCCTGGGCACGGTTTTAATGGTTTGGAGGACGACTTGGTTGGGCGGCTTTTTTCTGACGACTTCTGTAGAGGGACTTCGGATGACGACTGACTTCGGGATCGTTTTCTTTTCTCTTTTTTTTTCCTCTTGGGTTTTTTCCATGAGGTCAGGTGATGGCCTTTAACGGTCGCACATCCAATATGGATTCTCCATCAAAAGTTCCTGGTGACACATCCCTGACTAACTTGATCCGACTCAACAAGGAACAAACTCCGTGGGAAATAAATTTTATGGCTTTTAGCCTAACTCGATAAAACGTTCGAATTTAACCGATTATATTTTCCAAATTAAAATTTAAAATGTGGGTCTGTTCGTCCCTCACACATATATTGAAAATTCAGTGGCATAGATGATTTTACTATGAGAGGAAGTCTAGTTCTTTTATTTCATAATTACATTTAGTAACATATTGCAGTGTTTTTTAAACACAAGTTTAAATTATCCTATATTTACAGGAAATTACGGTGAGTTGCATAAAAATGCCAAAAAAAAAATTTATAATTTAGAAATAATTGTTATTATAACCAAAAAATATATAAATATTTCAAACTTATTTTTATATTTAAATTATTAATTGAAGTTATTTTAAAATAAAAAAAAAACTAACTATTTCATTCTCTTTCTATACAGAAATAAAACTAAAGAATATTTTATTTCACTTGTAATAAATCACATCTTGAACATGAATAAAATCTTTGTTGTTTACTGTGAGCAAACATAGTTTTTTAAAAAAAAATAATCAGTCACGTGATATATTCTTCCAGACGGAAATGGAAAAGGGCCTTATATACAGACACAGAACGACATAAAGATTTTCGACCTCCTGACTCCATCCTAGTTTTCTGGTTAAGGTGTTAACTGCTGGAATATTATAAATTATATTGCTATTCTTTTACACAAAACCTATTTAAATACTCAAAAGTGATATATAAATCGTGTAATTAATTAACTTCACACTGCGTAATCCGCATATATTTATCAAGCAAGTAAATGGAAAAAGATTTGAACGATTATTGTGTCAATTATGGTAATAATACGTCATATATTTTTAATGATGATATTAATTTGTATTGTAATCTATATTATTATACTGTAGAGTTCTAACGAGTCACATATTTATAGTATTTAATAATAAAATAAATTTGTATAAAACTTAGTTACTTTTCAAAATAACGTTATATGTATTTCTAGAAAGATACTTATCCGCTTCGATACAAGGATATACATTTTGTCAACGTAAATATTATAATAAAAGCAATTTTAACTATGGCATTTCCACTTTTACCAACTAAGCTCAAGGAAAGAGTAAGTAGAAAAAATAATTTAACTTTATAATTTAAATAATTTAATAGAGGAGAAGGTGGTATTATGGAACCCCAATTACATTTTAGTGAATTGTAAACAAGGTATCATAATTACACCCACAGTTTTTGTGCGAAAAGTACCGGTAACTAGTAAACTAAATGTTCCTAATTGGATTTTTCGCTACTGTAATTATAAGTATGGTTTTTGAAGGTGTGAGATCCGCCGGGGTTACGGAGTAAGTAGTACTCAAGTAACACTTAATCGGCACCTAGTTGGTAAAACTAGTTCTCCAGGTTTCAGATCGAGAGATCCGATCCTAATCTATTTCATAGGAGAGCTATTTAAAATGTTGATTGGATATAGGCGGCGAAGACTATATCTAACGTCAGGATTCCTTGACACCAGTTAATCAATCTTATTATACGCGGATTAACACGCGTATGCGATCTGTTTCGGACACCAAATTAAGAGACATTTTTAGTATAATTAACAAAAGTAAATTTAATAAATCTAAACAAACGGATACAAATTTTCAACAACAATTAAGCGACAAGCTATAGACTAGGACTTATTCTATGCCAATGCGCGATCGAGAGAGAGCTCACAAAATGATTCTAAACATACGACCTGTTAGTTGTCGTCTTCGTTTCTGTAGATATAGGACACCTTGTAGATAGGGTTCATATTACTTTCGTATGGGAGATCAATTCGTGCACAAAATATAAAATATCACTTCTTCTCAGTGTAGACTCGGGATTTAGTCTAAGTGACTCGTATAGGGCGTTGGCCATCAGGAGGGAAACGTATGTGGAGTTTGTATGCTTCGGATCTGTCGAAGAACTCCCTGAATTCTGACTAATCTCCCCTTTTATTTCAAAATTTCGTCCAATCATCGTACAGTAACTCTTTCGTGAGAACGGACGAAAGGGGGATGAACGAGGGGTAACCATTTCCCATCTGAGCGAGATTTTTAACCAGATACGGAAAAACAGAGGATGTTCTCTTCGATGAAAGGAAATAACATTTGTTATCTGTTTTTTCCCACGTCTAAAACAATATTTCTTTCACAAAAACGAAGTAATATTTCGTGTCTATATTTAAACATATTTAATAAAAATTCACAAATTAGACCCAGGGCCTTTCGGATCTCACAAAGGCTTTTGTACAAAAAGTCCGAAAGTACGCTTAGAGAAAATCGGGTGGTAATATGGAACCTTACTGTATATTTTCAAATAAATGCTTTAATGTAGCCAGAAACAAATAGGAAAGGACAAAAAATGTTAAATAATTATCAAATTATTTACTCCAATGTATTTTATCGCAAAAATGTTTTTATAATAGAAAAATATGACCTCCGTCAACAATATATATTTCAGCAGCTCTTTTTCGATATTCTCAGGCTTTCTACCTAGTGTCTTTTTCACAAATTGCACTGGAGGAATGTCTGCTTGCAAATAGAAAGTTCAGAGGAGTTGAGTTCCATATTACTGTAAAAGCACCAATGGGGTCCATATTTCACGCATCGCCATCTTGAATTAACTTAAGTCTGTCAAGACCAAAATTTAAAAAACGTGAACATCACACAGATTAATACGTACCCCTAAGTCTCTGGAACGGAATACATGCACCGGTGAACCTACAACTACACGATTTATATTTTTAAAATAATTAAATTCACTTACCATTCAAAACTTGCGAATTTTGAAAAAAAACAAATTTGCTGATTAAATACGGACAACTGTTTAACTGAAGTAAAACGGGTTTTCCCCTTGCTATGGATGTCTGCCTAGTTCAGTTCAGCCACATTCCGCTACAGTTTGCCTATATTATCAGTTCGAAATGAGGTGGTTCCATAATACCCGCAGTGTTCCATAATACCACCTTCTCCTCTATTTTTTAACAATTTTTAAACATTTAAAAGAATATTTTCTTTCTGTAAGAAAATCTTGGATTTGGAAACTTGGTTCTGTTGGATTACAATTAAATAAAACAGAGGCGTTATTTTATCTAAATTATGTAATATTGTAAATAAATAACAAAAAAACTTATTAATATTCATATAATAATCATATATCTGAAAACATCTTATCGTAAACACTTGCAGATGGTATTAAATCTTTGAAAAATGAACAGTTTTCAGCTACACAAAAACACGGCGAAGATTTTTGTGCAGTAATATCGATTATGAGTCAACATAATATTTGTAAAAATATTTAATAGCACAATTTAATCTTGTGTTTAACTGATATCCAGAATTGTTTCAGTCTCCCCTAATCGTAATATTTACAAATTATTGACAGTACAGTTTGCAGTTTTATTCTAATATGTGGCGATTTGGAAGGTATATTGGGAATTCTAATAAATATTTTTGGTTCAAAGTGTTTATTTCTTTTACTACTATGTGTTGTTATGGGTTGGATTTTCAATGACATTAACTTAATGACATGTTTACAAGTCTGAAAAATAAACAAGTACAGTACACTCCCCTATAATACGGTAAATACGTTTCGTTTTATATGAATTCGTGTTTTACGAACACTTAAATACATAAGCCAATCACACCCCGGCACGTATACTGTTCATGTACTACGGCTGTTTGAAAGGATTTTTCCATAAAATTAATCGATTCTAGATTAATTTGACACAAAATTTTTAAGATATGTATAATTTTTTGGGAATAATCAATATAAACTATGCTATAAACAAAAAATTGTACGATTACTTACCGAGTGTCCATCGTTCGACGACGCCATTGCTTAAGCTTGTTTTCGAGGTGAAGCGGCGCATCGAACGGCGGGCGCGTGTTTTCTGATAAGTTATTTTTTAAATTCACTTCACTTTGGAAACATCGTTAATATAAATATAATTTCAATGGCCGTTAAATAATAAATGATTTTTAGTAGGTCCACTACTCGTTTAAACTCAACGGTTTGTCCAATATCAGCTATTTGTCTAGATTCGACCAATCCTCTCGCGACACGAGTCGGCGATGAAGTTTTACCGTATTATACGAGTTTCTTTTAGCGTGTTTATACGAATACGGTCGCAATTTTTCGCCGTTATATACGAATCCATGTTATATTAACCCATTACTTTAGGGGGGGTCTACTGTATAGTATCTAATAGAAACAAAATAAAATCATATTTTAGAAATTAATTTTTTGGTTACGAATATTTTCTAATTCACATATTTTAAATTTTTATACAGCAAATTATTTACTTTATATATTATTTCACTAATTTCTTAAAAGATGTTTTCATTTCGCAGTTTCACTTACATTCCGACTTGTCTACTTTGCACGAATTCATTCATCCGGATTTTTTGCCTTTGGAATTGGGAGGTAATTTGCCTTCTGATCCGAGTAAATTCAAGAATATGATTAGAGCCAACGAAGAATTCTTTCGCAAAAACGAAGAATATTTGAGATTGTACGAAGAGGAAAGAAATAAACACTTCAATCAAGGCAAATTTACTTACGTTGGTGAAGATTTTGAAGACGAAAAAGTTAAGAAGTTTCTAGAGAAATCGGAAGAAAAATTTAAATGTTATTCCGATGATCCAGAAGCATTTATGGCTTCTCTGAAACAAGATTCGGAATTGGAAATTACACATTTTTGAAAAATATACAATTATGTTGTTCTGGATTATATTATTATTTACGAGGAAAAAACTAAACTAGCAAATTTAACATGTATTTTCATCGTTTATATTATTGTATTGAAGCAACTCGGCAATATTATTATTATTATTATTATTTTACTGTATTATGGTTTAAAATAAAAAGTAAAATTGAAGTGGTGATGTTTATTTACATGGTAAACAAAAGTTGCAAAAACTTATTCACTATTAAAATATTGTATATAAATATTTAAAAATATGCTTAACTATAATAAAACATAAATAATACTGTATCGTCTAAATAACTCTTATAATCGAAATGGTTTGATAATAATAATAAGCGCAGAATCCGAACGTTTAGAAGTGAAAGTTGAAATTTAATACGCAGTTAGGGTACGCCAGAGAATGTATAGTGCACTAAGAAGATATTTTTCAAAATTCCTGTCTCGGGGGAGAGGGAAACAATTAAGTATTAGTTTGAACTCGGACTTTACAATAGGTGCGAATTTTTTCGGTTTGCGTGAAATCGAAGATATTTTTAGAATTGTGAAGGGCTGAATAGACAATAACTTTTCAGGATAATTTATAAATTAAACTAAGTTTAATTTTATTTGGGAAAATTTTCTTTATACTGATAAATTTTTGTGAATATTTTTATAAAATTAATGTAATAAAAGACACAAAAAGGCAACATGTTAAAAGCTCCAGTTAAAAGCTGACAAATGTTTTACTTTTATGTAAAAAGAAAGAAAAGCTTCCTTTAAACTGTACAGTACCTTATCTTGATTTTCTCACGTCATCTGACCAAATGATACATCTGATCATTTCACCAGCTAATATAAATTAGAGGCCATGATTGCAGGAATTTTCCTATAAAAAGGGTAGATTTCCCTTATTTGGGACACTCTACAGAAGAAGAGATTTGCCATCCAGAGGTTTTCCTCCACTGACAGAATAACCAGAGGTATTCTTTATACATTATTGTAAACTCTATCTCTCTCTGTCTCTCGTTAAGAGTTAAGATGAGGGTATATCTCATTTTTTATCGTTAAGATATATTTATTCTTCCCTGTATTTTATTTGTCTATATATCAAATATTTTGTTTTGTAAATGCTAGTGACAACTTATTCCGTTTATAACGGATTCTGATCGAACTGATCCGCGACTCTCCCCGCTCAATAATACCTCTCCTATTTTTAACCATCTACTGAGAAAGTGTGCGGATCCTACCGATCCGACGATAAGAGGACTATACGCCCGTCGTATTCTCACAGAATCTTCTACAAATTCTGTAATTAGTCTGGGAAGAGGATAAACCTAATGCTAGCACCCGGTGAAAACGGGCAAGATTGGCTATAATCTTAATCTTCCCGTCTTTTTATCGTTACTTTTTGCCGGAACAACTCCGGGCTCATCTACTAGTATATATATAATATTATTATAATGTTGGTTTAGTAAGTTATACTCGGTTGATATTGATCGTTGTGTACTATGACGGACAAGAGTCGAGGCATAGCAACCAAAACAAGACAAAAATGAAATAAATGTGTCAATGTGCATGTCTGTATTCAGAAATTTCCTAACTATATGACATGTATTTAACATAGTGGGCCTTCTGTTGTGTGATGTATGTGTTTCTATTCAATTGTAATGTGCCCAGGCTTTTGTGTAGTGTATGTGGTATGACACCTGTAGAGAAGAGAACGACACGTACAATAAGCACACCCTATCCTTCCTCCACAGATGCCTGATTTTCTGGGTGCGTTCTGTGTACTTGCTGATTTTTTCAGTGCAAGACAAAAAATTAAATAGCAACCGAAAGACAAAAATTAAATAAGTGTGTCCATGTGTTTTATATATTGTGAGTGTTTGGAATGCAGAAGTGTGTAATTTATGTGATTTTATTTTGTTTGTCAATGAGTGTGATGTCTGGTCTGTTGTGGTAAATTGTTTTATCTGTGATTGTGGCTCTGTCATAGCACACTTTGTCCATGCTTTTTCCAATTCTGTCTGTGGAATGTATTTGTAGTATGGTTCGAGGATGTCTAATAATTTGTGTTTCTTTGCAAACCCTTGGTGTATTATATTTGCTACTTGATTATGTCTATGTAAATAGGCTGTCTGTGCCAAGAGCTTGCAACCAAATGTGATGTCTTGTATAGTTTCTGGCTTATGTGATGTCTTGTATAGTTTCTGGCTTATGTGATGTCTTGTATAGTTTCTGGCACATAATTAATATTCATTTAATAATAATCAAAGTATGTTAATAAATAATTCAGTAATATTTACATTAATTCTTGCAGTTTCTGACTCTTTTCTTGTTCCTCTTATTTTAACTTTTCATATTCCTGTTGCAAACGTTCTTGAGCAAGTAAAAGTTTTTGGTTAGCGCTACAAAAAACAAAGATAGATTTTAAATTTTAAATGTTTAAAATATTAATTGTTGTTGATAATTTGAATTCTTATTAAACACTTATAACAATGACATTTATTACATCTTTCGAGAACATATGTAAATATTTATCTTTTTTTATTGAATAGTGTAATGTTAAAGCAAAGAAATGACATATTTAAAAGCAAAAAGTTGGAACAGATACTTATTGCTTGATGAAAATAAGCAAATACTGTTCCATAAAATTAAAAAAAACACCTTTATCATATTTAATCTTTAAGTCCCAAACTTTTCTGATTCTTGGCACGTTTGCTAAATCTAGATTTTTAAATTAAGTAAAATTATAAAAATTTTATAACATTTTGTTGTGCTGGGCCATACACTTTGGGAACCACTGCTTTAAGTAATAAAAAGAATATAAATTTAAAAATGTATTATTACTAATATAAAAACTGTTGTCTGTGTGTATGTGTGAATTCCTTATAACTCCTGCAATCTTTCTCCAATCAAGATGAAATTTTGGTTATATACCCTTTCATATGAATGTACTGTACAGTACTGTACAGTACAGTACACTCATATGAAAGGGTCTTGTGTCATATCTCCAGTGTAGTCGGACTTAATGAATATTTTACTCGTTATTAACATTCACAATCGTATAATATAATCGATATGGGTTAATAATAATAATAGTAAATTAAAATTTGGAACACAGTTAGTATACGTTATATGAATGTACACTAAGAAGGGTTTTTTCCGAAATTCCTCTCATGTGGGGAGAGGGAGCGAGTTAAGGATTTAGCATACGTGTTTATTCTTTATGACAATATACTTTTTTAAACTTTTCAAAAATTTTTAGCAAAAAAATTAGGTAAAAAAATAAAATCTGTAAATAAAGTCTAATAAGAGATGGCACTACGTGTCATTATGCTCACTTTTAGCCTTACTGTGTGGATAAAATGATATACTGTACTGTAACTCATTTTTCATCAACTTTCGAATTAACAATTTTGTAGAATAAAACATTCCAAGAAATTAAAAGATTATTCCTATAACTTATGCATTTTCACAAATCTCGGGTACAAAACAAAGTTACACAATAGAGTTTTCCTTTGCTCTCAGACTCTACTGTTTAAAACATATTTAATGGCGCCTTTGGGTGGCTACAAACAGTCTTATCTTGTTCCCTATTGAAATCCTTGTGTAAATAACAGTAATAGGTTGTTATTGTTATTTGTAAATAATACTTTGCCCATCACTAAGTCGCAACCCATCACTAACGCTTTCCCGCCACAGAATGGCGTAACCAAACGTGATGTTGCGATAGTAATTTAATTACTTTTTGTATCGTAAATTTGTCTGATTTTTTAATTTTAACTTTAATTGAGTTAACATTAATTGAACTGTCGGACAACCCAGTCAAGAATAATGGTGATCGTGTATAAGTTGGCACCGGAAAGTAAACGAACCGTGCTACCCTGTTAATCACTTACCTTGGATGTGTAGGGGAAAGATGACGATGAGGACAGGATTGAATAGTTACTTTCGTTTCTGTGCTTCTCTACTTTTCTCCTATATTTTTTTGAATTTCTGTTAATAATCGAAGATTGTTCCTTTTTAGAAGCTAGAATTACTGCTATTGAATTCTTATTTGGAATTTGGTTGGTTTATACGTCTTCGAAAATAATCGAAAACAATCATACGATAGCGTTATTTTCATCTTTTTCCTCTTAAAAGTATGACAAAAAAACAATGTAATTATAATTACGTGACATTTCTCAGGAATGAAAGTATATGTAAATTTTTAATATTGATAATTAACTAAACAAATATTATCGTCAACTAAAATTTTATGACCTTTGAACCGAAGTAATCAACAATTTCTGCCTTACGAGACAGCCCAGGACGCCCCTTAGGGGGCATACATGCAGCAGCGGTGTCTTTCCATGGTATAAATAATAAATTAATATATGCTATAATATAATATAATATAATATAATAGTATGTTGCTAATAAACAAATTATACTGTGTGACAGCCGGAGTTTTAATTACTTCTTGTGTATCCATATGATGACCATACAGTAAAGAAAATACAAAGAATTAATTGTAGAGAACTTTTTTTTCGATTACAGAGGTTTATGCTAAAGAATTTCGGAAAAGATTTACGTTTGTTTACAGTAAAAAACAAAAATTTCCATAATTAACTTTGATTCATTATAAAAAGTTAAAAAATAAAATATAAAATAATATAATTATAATATTATAATTAAATTATTAAATAAATAAAATATTATTTTATTTTTATTTAGGAAGAAATAATTAAATAAAAAAGAAAAACCAGTTGTTAAAATTTTTAAAACTTTTCACTCGTCTCAACTCTACTTTATTTTTAGAAATTTGTTAATTTGAAATTAAAAAATCTGCTTCATATTTATGTCCTTAGGTTATTTTTTTCAGACTGAAATTTACATTGTCGCTTCAGAGCAAACTTCGTCATTAATTTCTGAGATAAAAGTATGTTAAAATAAATTTATTATTTATACTAAAAGTGCATATGGATTAATTTTCGGGGTGCCATCTCTGTGACCTTTAACCTTCAAAATGTTATGCAGCATCAATGCCACTTCACATTTATAAAACAAATTACAAATACTAATAGCGAGAAAAGCTGTTAATAAAGCTTTTATAGGAAAGCCAAACAAATACATTTTGGTT